ATGCACCAGAAATGGAAGCACAAATGGAGAGACCAATGATAAAGAAAATGTGATTGTGAAGACAAGTAATTTAATATTTTTCAGTTAATAACACTGACTGCAACGAACTGCTGAAGCATGAGACAAACAGGATTACGAACGTAAGAAGATATGTTGTTCTGTTTTGTGGACTCAAGTAATAAGAATAGAATTAAGATAATTCAAGAACAGTAGTCGAACTATCACTTTTAAAAATTAGACATTTTCCATAAAAATGCTCATTTCCACTTGCTTTATAATAATAATAATAAATAATGCATTGAACTTATATAGCGCTTTTCAAGACACCCAAAGATGCTTTCACACACTCTCACATTCACACACTGCTAGTGATGGTAAGCTACTTGTAGCCACAGCCGCCCTGGGGAGGTCTGACAGAGGCGAGGCTGCCATTTGGCGCCGTCGGCCCCTCTGACCACCACTAACACAGGCAAGTTGGGTGAAGTGTCTTGCCCAAGGACACATCAGCAGGATACCCCTGGCGGGAGCTGGAATCGGACCCATGACCCTCCGATCATGAAGCAACCCGCTCTACCACCTGAGCTACTGCTGCCCCTTAATATTAGCATTTGCAATTTTGTTATTAAGGAATGACAAGAAATAAGAATTAATAACACAACTATCAATAAATAAATATCAAAGAGTAACTAAAACAAAAAATCTTATGTAACCATTAAAGGTTAAACTCTGTTGTGTGTCCATCTTCATGTTTTCATAGTGGCTGAGCGGAGAGCTGACCAGAAACAACAGTGGTGGCAAATCCCAGTTGGGTCTGTGATGGAGTGATGCATGCCTGGAGTGATTGCCATCTCATCCACAGTAAGCACACACTCTCATTCCATCTCTGTCAGATTTTTAACCTTCAAACTGAGCATGTCACACACCTCTCCTAACACACCTGGTTCCAGCTTAATGGGCTGCATTTGTCTTTGCAGGGTTCTAACATCAGGCAGAGGGATACTCGTGTCCTGGAGAAACCTGTAGCCTGTTGAACCCACTGAAAAACGGAGTTGTACAGCCTTTTTGATTGTCTATTTACTCCATTCAATGCCTCTTGTGTTTTTCATGCCTTTGTGACTTTCTATTTCCTCCCTTAGGTTTTCCAGCTGAGTTCCCTGGTTACATAGCCTGTTCCTTTCTCCTCCTGGCCCTGACGCTGGCTCCTCATGGCTTCCTGGGATGTCCCTCTCTCCTGATACCATCTCATGTCCCCCCTCACTTTCTCTCAACTCAGTTGCCTCACTGCTGCTGCTGCTTTCCTCATTCTCTGAATTTATAATGGCACTGTTAGAATAAATAATTATTTTAAAATAAAATAAATACAAATGTCTAATATTTCAAAAGATTCGTACCACAGTTTACTTGAGTACAACATGTGTGGTCACTGGTCAGTGGATCAGCATGCAGTGGTTCTGCTGTACTTCTCACTGCGGGATCCTTCCTCCTTCTTGGTTCAGAGCGATGAACAAACAGCATCAGCCCTGAGTCTCACCTTGCCTTGCCTAGTCTTAGTAAACTGTCCCTCCTCAAAACGTGCCTGTAGAGTGGTGTATTACTGTAGTTTATTTCCTGCCACATTTAACAGTTTAATTGCAGCCTTGTGCAGTTGAGAGCAAAACATGTAGAGCCTTGATAGGAAACATTTGAGAGTGCACATTAAACTCACTGCACACAGCTTTTTGTTATTGTGATCTCTGGTCATGGTGAGGTTGCTCCTGCTGACTTGAGCCAACCATTTTCTTCTTCTCTCTGCGTCTTTGGGTAAGCCATAATTCTGATTCCTCCCTCAGACCAATTGCTATATGCAGCACAGCCAACCATGGTAAGATAATCAGCCTATAAATGGATTATTAAAATACTATTTTTGTGCATATACAAATATTGAACGAAACTAAAAATATAGAGATGTAAAATTACATTTCAAAATTTTATCCAACCCTAAAATTAGTAATTTCAAATTTTAACCCACAGACACATTTTATTTCAATAATATTCTAAATAAAGTTATTCAAAAGAGTTTCATTAGGTCTTGAGTACATTGCTCAAATTTATTGATTCAGCTTATTTGCGCATATGTAATGACTAAACATAATGTTGGTAAAATGCTTTATTAAAAATGCTATTATACACACTGTACAAGTTTGGTGTTGATATTTTCGCAAATAACACTTTTTTATCTACTGTGATGAACCATACAGTTTTTAGAAGCCATATAAACTGGGTTACAGATGCATGTAATGTCTTCGCATCAAAACATAAAGTAATGATTGTAAAATGTAATCTACTGAACATAACAGATCATCATTCAAAGCATAAACAGCTACAAATTTTCTTCAAGGTAAGCTGGAGCAGAATTCTAGCTTTCAATAAACCACTTTAAATGGATATTACCACTCCAGTTTAGGGCTTCTTGTAGGACTTAAAGTTATTAAATATGCTTATATTAGAGCAGTGTGTTGCATTACTACATCAAATTTATTGCTATAATATATTATAGTAATGTATGTGGTCTAAATGTGTTCTACAATGTGTTAGGACTGTCGTGTTCCTGTAATGTAGAACAGTCACGGGTGTTTGTCTTCCTACAAATGCTCGGAAAAATATAAATAGGCAACTTTGTGGAGGAATTAGGACATAATATATAATATAATATATAATATTATTCAATAATTACCACAAATAGCCAGGGGAAATGTGATTATATAAAATTTTTGTGATTTGTCCCACCATACGCCGTTCAAACTGACTTACGGCGCTGGGATGTTTGGAACTGAGAGCTCGATGAACCACGTAACTGCGAGTCGGCGAGTTCAAAGAGTGTCGTAACTCTGTCTTTCTACAGCTCTGACAGAACCCTGCCCTCCTCTCCCAATGATTGGACAGGAATTCGAGAACATGATTGATAGCTAAGACTCGTGCTCTCATTGGTTCCACCCAAGTTCCTCCCACTGACGCTAGAATTGAGACAAAATGATTTGTAAAACTGTAGATTTGAGGTTTGTACCTGTAGAATGAAATGTGTGTTTTGAGAGTTTTGATTTCAAACATGCACATAGATTTTTTTTTATTTTGGAAGTCTGTTATGTAAAAACCGAAAGATTCATGTTTCTGAATGAATGTTTGATGTTACAAAATGAGAAGTAAAAGTACAAAATAAAAGTTTGATTTTACAAAATAAAAAATATATGTACAAAATGAAAATTTCCTGTTACAAAACAAGAAATACAAGTACAAATTGAGAATTACAAGTTAGATAACTAAAGTTACAAGTTACGAATCCAAAGTTACATGTCATGAAACATGTTCCAAGTTACAAAACTTGGTACAAGTTACATTGAATATTGTCCCAATCCTAGCTCCATAGTGGCAGGAGGTGGGGACGCAGAAACTGACAAGTTAAAGAAAATGCAATGGTGATCTGAAATATAAGCGTCCTCAGGAAAAACACTGTCAGCATTTAGACCCAGGGTAAAAACAAGGTCTAGCGTGTGCCCCCTGGTGTGTGTGGGGACAGAAACATGCTGGGTAAAGCTGAAGGAGTCCATAAGGCTGGAGAAATTCATGGCAAAGTGGTCTGAGGGATCATCAACTTGGATGTAAAAGTCACCAACAATCACCAGTCTGGACAGCTTCACAGTGGAGGATAGAAAGTCACTAAACTCCAGAAGGAAAGAACCGTTTGGACCAGGTGGACGATAGACCACAGCACAGTAGAACGGGTCCTTACACCCGACTTTAATCCTTACACCCGATTTTAATCAGCTGCAGTTCAAAGGAAGCTAAGTGACCAGACGTTGTACAGCTACATGGAAGATGGTCTCTGAAAACAACAGCTAGGCCTCCACCATGACCAGAACCCCGGGGCTGACTAAGAAAAGAATAACCACTCGGGCAGAGTTCAATCAGACCAGAATAATCAGATGTTTGCTGCCAAACTTCAGTCAGAAACAGAAAATCCAGGTTTTTAGAGAGAATTAAATCATTAAGCAGGAAGGACTTATTGTTAACAGAGCAGGTATTTAATAGAGCCATGCTGAGTGAGGTGGAGGAATCAGAAACTACAGAAACAGCTGGAGTTAGAGGACGTAAATTAGCAGGGTTACATCCATGGTGTTTATAAAAAAAATCATTTATGGAGGGAACAGGAGGAGAAACCACTGAGGAATGAGGATAAACTGACCTTAAAAAACTTGGACGGAGAAACCGCGCCGCAATGCGGCCTGGCGGGAATGCGGAAGTGACGCTCAAGTCGCCAAACAAAGGACAAGAAGCTAGAAGATCACGCCGGTGTTTACTAGATAAACCACGCTTTAAGAGAAGTCTTTTTCTCACCTGGATTCCTGCTTTTTTACCTCTTTTCCTCCAATGTTTCCCAGGGACCGGACAAACATTGCTGGAGGCGTCCTGGTAGGAATCATTTGACTCCGGGCCAGCGCACCACTCAGGTAAACAAACAGGAAGGTGCGTCCTCGGTGCATCTTGGGCGATCGTGAACGAATGGAAGGACAAAAGAGTCTGGCGATCATAGGAGATGGTAGCAGGGACACTACTGAAGAGGATCGCAGACAGGAGCAAGGTGAAAAAGAGGAGGTTAGAGGAGAAAAGTTTGAAAAAGTGGCCGGTGACCGCGGCTAAGCCAAGCACAGGCGCCATCTTGTTACCGGAAGTCAAATTGATGGATGTGTGGCATATCTTTTAAGAAACTTTGCATATTCCTTAAGCATGTCTGTTTTGTTTTTTTAGCCTTTTTGAACCTGGACAAATTCCATGAGAATGAATCTGATCCTGAACACTTGTTTCAAAGTGTCGGTGTGTAATGAGAGAGCTCTTTAAGGTGAAACACAAGATGACGTGATGAATTTGTGGTTTTTAAAGACAGAAAATCACATTTCCCCAAAACACTTGGTTACTGAGGCCCAGAGGATTCCAGGTGTAGCATTGTGTTATTTCTTTCCCCTCACCTGAACTCGAGCTTCTGTCAAGTCCGTCCTTAGAGCCAGCTGCTCGCGGGCATACACATCTGGGTAATGTGTCTTCTGGAAGACCTTCTCCAACTCCTCCAGCTGGTAGCTGGTGAATGTTGTGCGATTACGTCTCTTCTTGCCTTTGTTGCTCTCTGCCTCACTTTTATCCAGAGGGCTGGAAAGGTCGGATCCTGTCCGCTCACTCGGACCTTTCACATTAGGTTCCTTTAGGTTCAGGTAGCTGCCTTCCATCCCAGGAGGATCGACGCTCGGGGGGAGTTCGGACTCTGTCAGGCCGCTGGTATCTTTTCCTACAAGTGAGAAATTGGGTAGAAATATATGTGTCACACAATGTGGATCTTTAAAGAGAAGTTCTCCAGAGTCTTGTGTAAATGTGTGTTGACTGCCATGAGTGTTTTTACAGTTATTCATTAAGACTCTGGTTAAAATGTGGTGCTTAGAAGATGGCATAATTAGAGGGAAATGTTTTGGTGTTTTGAGTTTGGTGTGGACTTGGGTTAGAGTTGGGGTTCCTTTAAAATGTGTCTGAACAACATCAGCAGCAGTAAATGCATCTGCTCATCATCACATTACAACATCTGCACAAAACCACTTTAAGCACACCTCATCTTCTTTATTTCAGAGCTCAAACATGTTGTGTGTGAGTGGTAAGTCTAGAGGTTCTCAGATTAAATCTCTTTTTTGTTTGAAAGGTTTGTCACTGCACATCGGGGTGACCTGTGACATGACCCACAAAACCCTCTCCTTTACATCTCTCAATCTGAAATCTGAGCCACGGGAAATCTGCTCCATCTCCAGGGTATGGGTGGGGGGACCACTCTGTCCTCACAGTCCTGCCCCTCACATGTAAACAACATTGTGTTTGTCGTTTTCAATTTCGAGAGTGTCTGTTTTGTGACAGCGCTTTCTCCGTTCCAATTTTTCTCTTTTCTTTTTTTCCCCATTTTAGAGATGAAGAACGCTGTCGCTTCTCCCTTAATAAACAAACTGCCGTGTGAATAAATAAGCTGGGAGGTTTTAGCTGCAAGACGGGGAAAACATTGGCTTCGGCCTGCCTCTGTTTGCCTTTCCAGCAATGAGCATGAAGAAAAAGCTGTTGTAAACAGGCTGGACTGAAACCAGTTCACGATGCTCCGTGAACAAATGTGAGTCTTGTGGAGCTCTAGTACCACTTCAGTCCAACATTCAGTCAGTTTACATTTTAGCCCTGATTAATCCAGTTAAATCCTTTTAATTCTCTGAAAGCATCCGAGGAAAAAGATTTGATTCTTTCTGGCACTCGTGAAATCTTTCAGCCAAGTTAGTTTGAGTGTTTGAAGGTTGAATTCTTTCTGTAATGAATCTCGGCGGTGTCTGTCAGGAACACGCATGTTTGTTTTCACAGATTAATGCATCTTTGGCTGGCGTGTTGCTCAATAAAACATCAAAAGTTGTTGTCTGAAAGCTGCAGCAGCTCTCCTTTGCTCTTCAGCTCTGACTCGTCCCAACTGAGAGACTAATGGCACAGCAAAATCTCCCAGCTAGAGTTCATGACCTCACATCATCGCAGCCTACCTGTCAGACCTTTTTATGGTCTCCACGCGAGCAGATGTTCTGACATCACCAACCCCTGAGCTAGCCTCCCACCCTGATCCACCATGCAATATTTTCATTCCAGCCCTGGGCAGGAGCATTGCTGCAGACTCGTAACGTTAGAAGGGTCAAGTCCAAGTTCCTGCCTGGCATTTGGATCTGTGAGAGAAACTGCAGTTGTGTGCCCCAGAGCGTCAAATATGCAGAGAGGGCAGAGATGGGCGCGCACATGTGGGGATGTGAAGATGGTGCAAGGCTGCACGGAAACATTTAACGTAGCTTCAAAAAGGAAAAGAGTGGCCGTGTTTGCTGAGAGTCAGTAATTTTAATCTGTTGTCCTCGAACAGCCTCTGTTTGACAAAGAGGAGGTGATTTCTGTCTGAATGGAAAGTAAAACTCAAGTATCTTTGAAAAAAAAACTCTAACTTTAACATTTATAGTTCATACAAGCAATGTTTTACAAACATGCACAATTTCTGTCACTTTCAAATTACTGGGTTGTTTGAGGACAAAATATTATAATTTTCCAAACATAAGTGGTAAATGCTGACCTGGAACTGCCAGATAGCTAATTTTGCTGCAAACATGCACAATATAAATATAATAAATAATTACATTGTTGTTTAAAGATTTGTGAAATGGTTTGTGCATGAACCATTATAAGATATACTGTACATTTGAGATTTGACCTGTTTTAAGAAGACAGCAAACTTGGCCCCATTCAAACTATATTAGCTTGTCCACCTGCTCAAACCTCTTCTCCATTTCTCCAAACTGGGGTTGTTCAAAGAGCTTTCTACAACATATCTCAAAAATAATTTTATTTCTAAATAACTAAATCTGCATTCGCAATTTATAGCAGCTTATACTACTAAATAATCCTGATTAAGTATGCACGCGCAGTAAAGAAGGGTTGCCTTCCTCAGGAGTACTAATGTGCTCTCGGACTTCTACGGTTGGAAGTCTTCCAGCTGATTACACAGAAATCACCCCTCACTCACCTAAAATCTGTTAAATTGTGCTGAATAAAAACAAATGTTTTTATTTAAAAAAAAAAGAAATTGCAGGCACTGATTGAAAATAATTGCTAAACTGGCTGAAAACCAAAATATGCCTTTTATTCAAAAGACAGACAACCACCACGACACCTCTATGTAATTTAAAACATACATGATCAGAACTGAATCTGTTTCTATGCAAAAACTAAACAACCCAATTTCTCTGTGAACGGATTGCAATTCAATTAAATTAGGCAAATTTAAGTGAACTGATGTTCTTTTTGTGTGGCACACAATGGAGATCCTTGTGGTTAAAATAGTTCATAGATTAACCCCGATTTGTGTGAGCTGCACAGATTACTTGTACTCTTTTTGAAATGTGTTGCAAAATGACTTCAGCACCCGTTAATGGATACAGAAAATTTGCCTGATTAGAGAAGAAACTATGAGACATCAAGGAAAAAAGAAGGTTTAATTAAACTCTAGCTACTCTTTGGTTTGCATTTAAAAAATCTCTTTAAAAATTGTTTGTTTTCATGCGTCTAAAGTGACAATATCAAAAAAGTGTACTAACAAAGCATTTACCTAAAAATTAAGATTATTGTCACTTTTAACATTTTGCTCACATTCAGAACCTTGAGCTCATAATTGTTTAGCCAAACCTCAGTTTGCACAATTGTCTGAATAAATTAGCATCATCTTGGATGTTTTTGAGTTAAATCCTGGCACAAATTATCCAATTTTCTTTCTCTGAGAATTTCAGTTCATTTGTGTAGTTCACAACAAGAGTCATGTCACGGTACTTTACAAAGTAAACGGTCCGACTCAACCTGTATCAGTGCCCTGAGTTCAGTTCATGGTGCCAATAAGGAAACCCAGCAGACTGCATGGAGTCACCGACTTTTTGTGTCAGAGAAAGCAATCCTCATACTAAGCAAGCATGTAGTGACAGTGGAGAGGAAAACTCCCTTTGAACAGGAAGAAACCTCCAGCAGAACCTGAGTATGAGCAGTCGTCTGCCATGACCTCTTTGGGGTTTGCCAAGAGAACGTGTCTAATTCTAAAGAACCCATTAAATGAAGTGTTGACTGCTGTTGACTCATTTTCATTCCCTTTTTTAAAAAATACCAAAAAGCAATTTTCTAAGCAAAAAAGATAAACATGGTTCTTCACCCTGCAGATGCATTTCACAGGGAAAAAGATGACCGATGAAGGGAAGGTCTGCACTAAAAACAAGGTGTTTGACTCACTTTGGTGCACCATTTCACACAATAACGCCTATAGGAGTCATGCAGATTCGAGTTTGCTGTTTTTATCAAGTTCCTGTTGAACTCACTGAGTGTAAAATGATAAATGACAAGCATTTCTCCAAGGTTCTCCTCTATACACGAGCATTTCTCACCACATTTAACACTGGAATCTGCAATAATCAACATTCCTTTCCCTATAACCTCATCTCATCTCTGTCACGCCAACCACACAGATTCACTTGCCACAAACATTTTCGAGTGTTCCCGCATGCTGAGCTGTCTCTTCTGCACGCTGTTCTGGAAAACACAGCCAATCACACACACACACTGCTTTTCTTTAGGAGCCAAAATTCCACTGCATTGGCTCAGAATTTCTTTGGCATTTAGAGGAATGTGTTTTTGACAGCGGTTCTCGTTTCATCACTCATCAGCATGCCGTGTGTCTGAAGGCAGTGAGCATCACCAACTTGTCCTGTAATCTGCCAGCGTCTCTGTGACAAGCTGCAGACCACTTCAGTTAGCCCGGGTCAGATGTTTACTAGGGTCAGCAATTTAATCACCGCTGAAAACAGAGAGAAAACATCAAAGTGTAATTTAACTGGTTGTAAAGCAACAGGGCACCCTCTTAGTTTTTATGGAATGGGACAGGGAGGGTCAAGTGAAGCCAAATAAAAGAAACACTATAAATTAGTAACCTGGGGAAGGGTTAACGACAAAACACTAAATAGGGAGGGGAATTCTTTTAAATGGAGTGCTCTAAAGCGTCCTCTGAAAAACACACATAGCTGTGTGCTGTCGTGGATCCCCACGTATCACACCTTATATGGACTAACTGAAAGGCAAATATCCCATTAGCTTGGGTTGTCAACAGGTGACTACAAATTTATATTCACTCATTGTTCCCAGACACGGCTCAGTCTGAGACCTGATGTTCCCTCGGTGAAAGGGAGGCTCACAGATGTTCCTGAGGAGAGATCTATGCCAGTGGCTCATGCAAGAATGCTGATTCCCTGGGAAACGGAAAAAAAGTTCTTTCTGTTCAGCCTCAGCTCTTGAGAAATTGACACGATCATGACCTCATCACTGTCATAATACCTTGGGCCACCGCTGTCTCATATCGGAGCACAAAAATATCTCTGGCTAGGTTATGACTTGTTTTCAGATAGACGTGCACTCGAGGGACAAAGCTTTTCTCAAAAGGAAATTAAAAGCCTAACGTTACTTGAAGGATTGCATATCAGCCACTAAATTTCGTGGTTGATTGAACTGAAATCGGGTTGAAAAACGATGGAGTAGTTCCTGTTTTGGTCAAATTTTGAAACTAACTTGCAGCAATGTGAGGTGGAAAACATGGATCTCAGCAGTGACAATGATTTTAGCTCACATCAGTAAAAAAACACAAAGTTAAAGCCATTTTTGAGTTTGGGCGGCCACAGTGTGTACAACTCCAGACACACACACACACACACATACACACACACACACACACACACACACACACACACACACACACACGCGCGCGCGCGCACACACACACACACACACACACAGGCAAAAACATTTGCTTTTTGGCTGGAAGCAATAAAACATGGAGAGCATCTAATCTGAATACTCATGCTGCCCTTTCAAAATAAAGGAACATGTCAAAGAAATATATTTTCACTGATGAGATTCTATTAATGTAATTAAATATTTTACACTTTCATTATTAACAATAAAAATGGGCCAGAAGTAATTGTATTCATCTGTAGAAATAAAACGTACTTCATCATTAGTTTGAGTTTTTCAAACATCCCCTCAAATAACAAGTAAATTCAATTAAAATATTTAGAATCGCCATTTATTTAAAAGCACCTTGGTTCACATCTGTTTGTGCATGTAAATGTTTTTCGTTTGCTTTGTCGAATGTGAAAAGTTATTTTAATGTTCACTAGTTAAAAATGGAAGAATGAAGACAGCCCAACGAGAGTAAAACAACATTACACTTTTTGTGCTGAGTGCAAACATCACATCATGCTGCTTCACAAAAACATTTTCCCTTTCAAGCCTTTATTCTGGGTCACGGGCACGCGCTGGCACAATCACACAGGTGGTACCCGTGCTGCTTTTGTTAACATCCACACAATGTTTTAGTCATCATTCATATCTCATGACATCACTTCCACGAGCCTTTTAACATCCACTCCGACTGTGTTATGACAGGATGCCTTTTAAAGCAGCGACAGAAACTTTCTGAGGTTGTGTTTTGGTTTTCATGATCAGAGAAAATGTTTGACACATCACAGGATGCTCCACATCCCACTGAGAACAGGAGGGATAGGTGATTGACACTTGATACTCAAATTTCACAAGTTTGAATTTACAACACATGATAATCTCCCAGCTACTTTGAGCATTTCCTATGAAAATTTAAATCTTACCAAGATTCAGGAGTCACTCCAGCGCTCGACATTCTTCTTCCCAGAATCACTCACTCCTCCAGAGTGGCTCACATCATTACCCGTGTCCATCTCTGACCGCTGCTTATTTACACAAGGTGTTGTTGAGACAGGGTTATGTAAACCACTCCTACTTTGTCGTCTCAGGGATTCTGCAGCTCTTGGAGCTCTGATCATGTTCATGGAGTTTGAATAATAGGAGCAAGTGATGCACATCTGCCTCACATTAATCCAGAGCTCTCCTGCAGCGCCGACCTGCATTCCTGAGCTCCCCATCAGCTCTGGGGGCGTTTGTTTCACTCAGCGCCGGGCAGGCAGGTAGACAGCTCCGTGTCTGTCTTCACTAGCAGAGACTGGATGGATTCATGCGTATATGTGGACTCACTTTGTCAACATCTGTGTGGAAATATGTTAATTTAAACTTAAAAAATAAATGTTTTTTTTTTTCAAATGACTTTTTTTGTAAGTTAAAATGTTCTAAAACATTTAAGACTTTCACTTCTAGGTGTCAATTAATAAATATTTGGACAGGAATTCAGTTTATTGCAATTCAGTGTGATAATTTAGCCTTTAAGTCAATTTAAATGTGGAATTTGACACTAATAAGATGTGTTCTGTATCTTCAGGTTCCATTTGCTGCTTTAAAGTTTTTACGTATAATCCAGTTCCGTAGCATCACCATGTAGAGTTTTTAATTCTATATTTTTAGACATTAATTGCATTACCATGAGAACTGCTTCACAGCTGAGATTGCCACAGAAGATCCCCCAAGGCATACGAGCTGAACTTTTTTTTGTCATCAAGCTGGAGATAAAGCATCAACATTGAGTAATGTATCTCCTGTGGAGGACCACACAAAGCAGCACAACCCTGTTGACGCCTGAGGCTTTGGCGGGGCCCCAAAGCATCCTCCCCAGAGCCACGATGCCTTCATCTGGCTGCAACATTTTCAATAAGAACATTGCACAGCTCTTCCTCCGGGGAGGCATGTTGGATTTGATGATGGTGCTTAAATGATTCTGTCAATGCACTTGCCAAATCGACTCACTCCAGTGCAGGAGTTCAGAATAGGTTGGAAGCAAGAAAAAGTGACAGATCATCAGACGGAAAAACAAAGAGTCCGTCCAGTTAGGAATTTACGAATTATTTTTGTTTTAAATAAATATATATATATATATATATATATATATACAGAGAGAGAGAGAGAGAGAGAGAGAGAGAGACAGAGAGAGAGTTTTTTAATTTATATTAAATTTATTTTTTCTTATCTTCTAATGTTGTTTCTGTGTTTGATGTCTGAATTTTCAGCTTTAAAAAGTTGGGAAAATATTAGAAAGAATGAAATGTGATATTTAAGACAACAATTGTTTGTTTTCAAAATCAGAAACTCTGTGATAAACATCTAGAGTTTCATTTAGGACCAAAGGCACCAGCCATGGAGAAATACACGGGTTGGATGAATAGGTTTGGCCTGATCTTTTTCAAAATCAATTTTTTATTTTGAATTAGTTTAAAACAAGGAACGTTTGGGTTCCTTAGACCCAATGCTTTTATTTTATACACAACAGAATTCACATTTATTTATTTATTTATTTTGGTTTATGAAAATCTTTTTAAGTGGACTTTTCTTAGAACATTTTGCAATTCCTATTTGTGTTAAACAATTTGATCAGTAATTGTTCTGTTTGGACTAAAACGTGTCTCTATTTGGTGATTTTCTTAAATAAAACAGTTATTTCCATTCATTTATGGATATCTTTTATTGCTGGATGCGGCCTGTTTGCAGCGGGCGTGAAAACTGTACAGCCAAAATGGCGCAAACATGTTTATACTGGAGTCAAGAAGTTTCGAATCATTCTCCGAATATGAGCGCAGGCGCGCGCACGACTTTAAATGTAAAAATTGAGATTGCATTTGTTCTTTTTCTGCACAAATGAAGGTTTTGCTGCTACAAACTGAGTCAGAATATTAAAAGTAAAAAACAAAGAGGGCCTGCTCATACATTTTGTCTCGTTCCAAAAGCTTTTCCTTTCCCAAACTAAAACCTGAGAAGTTCTCGCCACCTTGACAGATTACATCATGAATCACACAGCAGACGTTCTCATCTGTACTGGAGCGCAGCTGGTTTCCAGTGCGATCCCACTCACTCACCATAGCAGGGAAGGAGCGTCCCGTTGTGCCCGCTGTCCGGGTGCAGCTTGCCGCCCTCGGGTGGAGTTTTGCAGGTCGGCCGCTGCATGAAGAGCTGGTATTTGCTGAAGGTGCTCTCCTCAGCTCCATCCAGTGACTGGCACTCCGGCTGGAAGGGGCTCCGGGAGCGCTCCCCGTAGGCCTGCCCTTTCCCCGGAATGAACGTCGTGGGGCTGTATTTCGTTTCAGTGGTTTGGAAAGTCCTGAAAGGGTTCGCTTCTCTACTCTGCGCACTAGATGCGCTATAATAAGAATCCATGGATGTCATGTCGCAGTATGAGACGCACGTATCTGCGTTCATACCTAAAACGTTACTATTAAAAAAATCCACACGCTTCTTGTCTCCCTCCCCTAGACAGCAAAGTTTCTCTCCCTATTCTCATGCACTAAAAACTACACACGCTCTCTCTGACACACACTCACAAACACACATCTGGGACTGGTTAAGAAACGAATCAGATGTTTTCCAGAGACTTCAGACCGAACAAATGCTAAAAGCTCCCTGAAGGTTTGCCGGGGCAAAGAGAAATGCCCCGCTGGAGCTGATGCTGCCCCGGTAGCCAGTGGATCTGTGGATCTGACGCACGCAGCTCTCCGACCTGCAGGTACGCACGTCTAAAGGCCCGCACCGCGCTCCAATCTGCGCTATTATGCAGAAATGGGAGGTCAATCTCAGAAAAGGGGACTTTTTTCCGTTCTTTCTCTTTTTTTAGCAAACACGAGGGACAAACAACACATGACATTAATGTAATTAGAGGATGAATGTGACGGCTTTGATTCTGATTGAGGACCCGAACCTCTGACTTTAGGAGAAAATAAAAAGGTTCATCATGTAAGACGCGTTTCTCCTCTGCCTGTTTGGCGTTAACATGGTGTTTGTGGAAAATCACATTCATGCTTTAATTCTGGAGTGTGAATCAAAACAAGGAGGGAATCAGGAACACGCAGGCCACGATGAGCACGTGAGAGGTGTTTTGGTGCGGCTGCTGCTAATCAGTTATGGATCAATAAAAAATAATTAAAACTTGGCTCGCTGGTTGCAAATGGGTCGAACAATTACATGTATACTGCAGAAAGACCCTGGATGAGGCGGCCAAAGGGTCTGGGGGGAAACCAGATAGGCCTACAAGCTGTCTCACATCACTTCCTCTCAGGGAAAGGGGCCACATCAAATTGGAAATACGACAGAAAAAAATCCCTGACTTCAATGATAAGCAAAAAAAACAAACAAACAAACAAACAAATAGAATAGAATAGAATAGAATAGAATATAGTTTCTTGACCCCATAATTGACTGGTTAAGGCAGCACATACTTGGAGAATAGGAAACAATAATACAGGTAAACACACAAAGGCAGTAGGCTATATATTATTGTAACCTTCAGCAATTAAAACATGAATAAGAACAGACAACACAATATGTTATTTGTAAGAAGAAACAGCATAAAGGACACCGACATACAAATGTACTGAGTATAGCCCTGATGGTATAGCTGAAATGGGATAGTGCCAGTAACCAGTAACAGCTAAGCTGTGGAGTTTTACAGTCATACATTAGATGTCCAAACTGCAGCCGCGGGGTTCATTTGCAGCCCTTGAAGTGATTTTGCATGGCCCTCACAAGCAAATGCATTGTGGAATAAACTCTGAGGAGACTGTTGTTATAAATTTACACATTTAAATGTTTTATGTTCAAATCTTTACTAAAATATCTATTTTGGGCAATTTTTGAACAGAACAAAAAACAAGATAATGTTTGCATTCTTAAAAAACAATTTTTTATGGCCTGTGAGGAGATGTAACTTCATGATTTCGGCCCTCCTCTTTAAAAGATTGGACATCCCTGGAATAAATGAATAATAATAATAATAATAATAATAATAATAATAATAATATCATGACCATCATTGAATGCCAAGCAAAATGTCTTTTCTAAGTCTAAATGAAGAAAAAAATGCTATTAGATCCTTTCTGAATATTTAGCAATTCAATTCAATTCTGTTTGTTTATATAGCACCAAATCACGACAAGAGTCGTCTCAAGGCACTTCACAAAGTAAACATTCCAGTTCATTAAACCAATCAGTAAAACGTTTCCTTTATGGGGATTTTTTTATTTCTCCCTTAAAGTTTCTTACTTGTTATTGTTTTATCTCTACCAGTAATTAGTGCATTAGTGCAAAACACTAACCCTATTCTCAACGTCTTTTCCCAAAAGCACACCTTGAATCATCTAGGTTTTTTGTGTTAAAGGTAAATAGTTAAATAATAAAGAATGTGCATGTGCAGGTGGCTGCAGGTCTCACAAAACTCAAAATCTGTTTTTAATTCATTTTTAAATGATTGAAGTTTGCGGCTCAAACTGTGGTTTTTCTATTATTATTATTATTATTATTATTATTATTATTATTATTGTTGTTGTTGTTGTTGTTGTTGTTGTTGTTATTATATTATTGTTGTTATTGTTGTTGTCGTTATTATTAAAATAAGTTCTTCATTTTTATTTCCTTACAGCTGTTTCATCTAACTTATTTTTCTATTTGTTGATTTTGCACGTTTCATGTGGGCTGCAGAAAATTATAGCAGAAAGATACAAACACCATTTTACACAAAAGAACAAATTACTAAATATCAATGAGTTGAAGGTATTTCAGTACATTTAGTTCATTTATCTCCATTTAGCAACTAAATTGTGATTCATAAAAATGTGGTAAATAATCGCTAATGAAATACTTAAAATCAATTTACTGTCCAAAGAACATAAAGAGTATGTCTTAAATACAGAATCAAGTCTGTTGATCAACCCCCCCCCCCCCCCCCCCCCCCACACACACACACACACACTGCCACAGTCCAGCTCTCAGCTGTCACACATGTATACTTTGTTTAAATCCCAGCAGGAGCTGTGAGCAGGTATTGACCGAGGGGACGGCGGCCGAGCAGATCTGGGGTTATTTTGGCACCCAAAGCTCCGCGGCTGTCAGAGACGGGTGTCAGGGTCTTAAAGAGCTGCAGAACTCATTTCAGGTTAGACAGAGAGAAACCCCAATGTGTTGTTTAACTTGATGAGAACCTTTTAGGTGGGTAGCCGCTGTGATTTGAATTGGATGTCTCTCTTTCTCGTGTAGCAGCTTTTTCAGCAGTGCAGAACTTGAATGTGTGTTTGTGCTGTGAAGTGATGGAAAGTTTGAGCAATTAGGAGAATGTTGGGAATTCCAGAAGCAGCTGAGACTCCTCTTTTGGGTCTGGAACATCACCACAGAGGATCTCTGTCATTTCAGCTTTAGGGTTAATGTTTTAATCCTTCTTGGGTTTTTTTTATCTCGGACTTCATACTGGAATAAAAAAATCTCTCCACTCAAATGGTATTTGGACTTTACCTCACAGGGTGATTGATGCAGATTTACTCTTCTGCACACCGTGAAACTGAAGTCTAACGAGCAAGAAAGGACAAAACATTCAAGAAGCAAACTCAAATGAAATATGTGCTTTTCCTAAACACAAACGTTATTAAATCACTTTATCTTTTTATTCAATAAAATATGTTTACTTGAAAGAGTAGATTTCTTTAAAATATTATTTTTCATAGCAATGAAATCTCAGATTACATATGAATTAACTAGTTTGATTGTTTATATGTCAAAATGACAACAGCTTCACATTGTGCAGGCACAGTGAGCTCCTGCTATTATTAATCATACTGACACATTTTAATAACTGCAGTCTTGTATCAAACCACTGCTTTTACACTTCAGACACATTTTATGCAGGCCATCTGCTCGTACGTTTAACTTAAATATGAATAAACCTCGGGTTCTTCCACTAGCGTTCAGTTGTTACTGAAGTTAACAAAGATCTGAAATGTTCAGAGTGACTGTTGAAGGTAGGAGGCACATCACCTGGATCACCTGGAGGACCGATCCAGGATTTATGTGATTATAAATGTCCTCAATAAATGTTTCTGCTGATTATATGTGGAGGCTGTGTTCCTTTCTGTCTTTTTATTGCATTCTGGTATGGCAGCTGCCCTGATGGTGGCAAAAAGGTGGTTGGATCTGCTTCAAAAATCATCAACAGCAGCTTCTCTTCTGAATGTCAAAGATGCTGAACCAGAGCCCGGGGCCCGAGCTTTGACCTTTAAGGTGTCCCCTCGTTTTGTCTACATCTGTATGATATAATTGTGTTCATTATTTACTTATTAAGTGATACGATAAACACATTTTCCCCTCCCTTATTGGATTATTTCAGGTAAAACATGTTATGGACAGAAACCTTTTTTTTAGTTTAGATCACGAGTTACTGGTTCCAGAGTTCTGATGGAGACATGGGATGATGCTCTCACATTCTCTGTGTTCTGCTCGGCTGAATCTGAACCAAACAGTCTCACCTAAGGACGAGTGTGCTGCTGCTGCTGCTGCTGGAGGTGTACGGAGACCAGCAATACCAGCACTGGCTCTCTGGTTTCTGACTAACGACACATCGGGCTATTTGTGGGTTTGGGAGTAAAAGGGACAGCAGATTTTTATGTGAAGTTTGAAATTGCTTTCACATGAGCCGGACACACGCACGGCATCAGCAGATACTCTGATCAAATTAGACGGCAATGAGGAGGCAGGGGGAAGGGTGGTGGTGGTGGTGGTGGTGGTGGGGGGGGGGGATCAGTGGTTGTACTGAAGTGTAATTCAATAAACAGGACCAAAGAGAAGCAGACAGAGGGAACGAACACTGCATGTCTTCATCACACAGAAGCAAAGCTCCATCCATCATCAGCAGTCACGTCAGAACTCAGCTGAGGTTCTTCATCAGGAACCATTTTGGTCTCGTCTGAAAGGACGCTCTGAATAAATCTGACACAATTAGAGCATAATTCATTCAGAAAATAACATCTGCATTTTGGTGCTTTTCTTTCTTGTAATTCCTAATGAACTGATTTAATCGAAAGAACTGGTGTTTGATCAGAAGTTTTGTGGTTTTAGATTCACCAAAACAGAAAAAATTCAGCCAAGTATTAATCTATCGACCAGAACTGGAAACAGGTAAAGTTAGTTTTGAGTTGTTTCCATTTGGATGCATTTGGAGGTGTTTTTGTGAATGTAGCTGTTAAAGTGGCACACTTGTATTTAATTATGGTGCTCTTATGTCAGCTTAACATTTAGAGCTGCAGTTGACCTAATAAAGTGATCATTCAGCGGAGATAGAATACTTTTGGATTTGAAGACACTGATGAAACCTTCATGGGGGTTATTATTTTACTTGATAATAAAGCAACAATTACTTAGACAATCTATATAAACTACAGTTCTATACGAATCAATAACAGCTGCAATGTTTTAGCTTGTGTGACAGGCTCATTCATGCTTGGTTTCATTAAGTAAATATCAGATAATATTAGATTTAGGCCTTCCATCAGATAAACCACGCACACTAAAATATTCACAGGAAAGAAGTAATGTTCTGACATTAAACAATAACTTAAATCAAAGCCCACTATGTCAATTTGTTATCAAGTTAAATTAAATCTAAATTAGTTTTTTGTGTAACACAACTTCTAATTCAGTCATCAGACAGAAAATCTGAGATCAACAGTGAATCTTGATGTCCAACTATTCTGCCCCATCGGCAGCCATCTTTTACACATCATCAGATCTAATCATCTATAATTGCAGCAAACCCACATTATTCAGAACTTTTTATGCTGTC